GAGACAGTGTACCCATATTGTGATTGTATAGCTGAAATCAACACTGCAACAGCTATATGAGAGCTTGCTTTTACCATGGGCTTGATGGCTTGGCATATCACTTCAGAGTTCAAGTTGGGATAATCTTGGTTAACCCCTCCAGCACAACATGTGTGAGGACCGTTGTATACTGTTAGTTCTCATATGTTGTTTTTCCTATTCCTATTCGATACGCGAACCATCCAATTGCATATGTTTTCTCGTCGGGCACAGTAGCATACATATTTTTCGGTCGTAGAGCGGTCGACTCTGGACTGGACAGAATTACAAATATTGTAATTTTTGATAGCCATCATCGCTTCTTCTTTGCTTGAAAACTCCATGCCTAAAGATAACTCACCATTATTTATTGATGAGTAATATCCATAGTCATTGAGATGAGGCATATCCGCAAATTTTGGCCCGTACATTGCACCATAATCAGCTTCATACATGTGTGCAGGAGGGTCAGTTTCTGCCACATATCCTGGAACTTCATCTACATCATCATCATCGGAGTTGAATTGCGGTGATTCTGGGTGAATGAATAGTCCAGTCTCAGCAATATCCGCACCAAGCTCACGAAGCGGTTCTTCTGGTGGAGATGATGGTTCTTCCATGCTCTCCACATTTAGGTCGAAGAACCTACTACTTGCACGCCTTCCCCTTGAACTGTAAGGCATATCAACATTGAGATCAAAAAACTCGCAGTCGAATGCCTTCCCCTGGAGCTTGAAGCCATTGTGTCAAATGGACAGTACATAGATTGTTTCATCGATTGCATCTCCATATTAAGGTCAAAGGGATTTACAGATGAATGTCTTCCCCTTGAACTACAGGTGATGTTGTCATACGGATTGTTCGTTGACCCACCTCGGTACATATCGTAAGGAGTTACGGATGAATGTCTCCCTATTATGGCATTAAAATCATTACACATTACTGTCGTCGGACTGTCAACTTGATCAACATGTTCAGCCAGCCCATAGTGGGAGCTTAATGACTGACCCCGAGCAACACGTACTTGAACAAAATTTGCATATATCTCAATATCGGCGTCTGAATAATTACTTTGAGATTCAACCATCACTTCAACATCATCATTGTTCGAAAGTTCAAACGTTGTATAAGTTAATGACAATAATGATGTTGGAAATCTGTACTGCAATGACGACATTCTTCTACTACTTCCAACATGAACCTTCCTCGAAATCTTCGTTATCAGCTCCTCAAGAGTTATGTTTCTCTTAAATGATATTTTAACATGCTCATATAATACGAAAACAACGCCGGTTTCATCTTCTCGAATTTCACCATCATAATAAACAATAGCTGAAAGTCGTGTCATTCTTTGAGTTTAAAAGTGCGACAATATTATATCTTAAAAAAACAACTGAAACAAACCTGATTAAATGAATAATATATGAACGAAAATATAACACAATAAAATTTTTACACATAAACGTAAATAATTTAAATATTATAATTTTACCTGCACCACAAAACCATTTCGACGTATGCTCCTGCTTTCCAATTTTATAAACACAAATATTAATTGAAAACAATTAGTATAATATTTTTTTCAATTAATCATAATAAATAATAAGTATAATAAAAAAATTATAACAAAATTACCTTATAACGAAAAATTGCACGAACTTCTAAATCAAATATGAGAACATTGCCAGAATTATTGACTCGTTGAGGGAATTGTTTTAATTTATAAGTTGAGAGAGAAGATGTGAAGAGTTTACCGGGAAGAAGGGTAATTATAGCCGAGAAAAGTTATAATTATACAAGTCACGGTACCTGTACTGCGCCTTATATAATTATATTAGTTAAAGCTAAGATGCGATCCCTTCCCCGCGCTATATATAATTGAAAGGTAAGACGCGGCCCCTGCCCCGCGCTATTACCCTACGTGGCGTAAGGCACGCCCCAGGGGTCGCGCTTTACACACGTGGCGCCAGATCAGCGTAAAGCGCGCTGTAGGGGGCGCGCCTTATTGCAAAGGGTGTTAGATCGGGAAAAATAGTCTGAAGGGTGCCTGACAGGGAAAAAATAAATTTAAAAGCTGATATATCGGGAAAAACGTCGAGATTATAACTGTTTAACTGAAAAAATAGATTAGATTAGTTTTTTCTTGATATATATTTTTTGTTTTTTTAAATAAATGAACTGTCGATGATTTTTTTTAAAATATAATTAATTTTTTAAACATAATATTTTTAAAAGAATTATAAAGTAAAAGGTAGTTTTTGAGAAGTGGAAGTTAATAAAAGAGAGTGGGAAGTTTTTTTTTATTATGGTGTGAGCATTTTTTTATTTAATTTTAAAGGAAATTGCAGTTTTTGAGGAGTGGTGGTCTCTAGAATAGGGAGAGTGAGATGTTATTTTATAGGTATGGGTGTACCTGTATATTGTTTCATTAAATTTAATTTTTAAATTTAAATAAATAATTTATCAGTTTTTGATTTAATTAATTTCAATTTTAAATTTTTCATATTAATTCTAAGTTTTGATATTTTATATAATTTAATTATAAATATAAAAAATAAATATTTAAAGAACTTTGTTTTTTGGATTTGGAATTCAATCCAACTCAATTTGGGAATAATAAAAAAAATTCAATATGATCCCAAAAGTCAGAGACTCTAGTGCAACATTTTGTACAAAATCGAATAGGCCACTATGTTCCTAAACCATCATTTTCCCCGTACCCAAAATAAATGGGAGAAAACTCCCATCACCCACATTCTCTATTCCAAAATTTGTCTAAATTAAACTCCATAGCATGCCCAAAATACACCTACCATCATCCTACAAGAAAAAACAAATCATCCTATAAGAAGATTAATAAAAAAATCATCCTACAAGGATTACACTCCACAACATAACTTTGATTACCACCAACACGCTAGCAAAACCTCCTCCGCCGTAAAAATTTCGACCCGGCGAATCCGAACTCATTGAATTCATTGACGGGGCCGTTATATTTACCATGGTTCCATTCCTGCCATGGCTGCGTTACACGTCAACAAATAGCATGTTCAACTTATGTAACAAGTGAAAAAAAAACCTAAGCGAGAGGGGTAAGAAAAAAGTTATTAGTTTTTACCTTCCTGGGAATATACAAGAACCATGACCTGTGAAAGAAGTAAACTTGGATTAGTTTCCTTTTAATACAAGCAATAATGTTATATTAGTATCAATGCATGCATGCTCTCTATTCATCTTACTTGGATCTGTTGTTGTAATATCTGCAACCCCATTGAAGTCGCATGCATCGGGAGTCTTCCCCATACTGTGATAGTAAGTGTCGAACGCATAAGTTGCATGTGCAATCACGTTATCCGGCTCATAACATGGTTTTCCCTGCAACAATTGTGAACAATCCACTTTTCCGGGTCCGCATGCCCAATTTAAAGCAGCCTGCAACATCTTTGGATCAGCCCCTTCCTTAGCGGTACAATAAGTTTGGTTAGTGGTATCATTTGCTAACAATGACCCTGAATCTGTGAGGCGTAATATGTAAATGGGGTCACCATTTGCATCAAACAATCCCCAGTTCTTCTCCGATATCAACCCGGGTTTCAGGTCCTCATTGTAGAGCTCATAGATGTAAGTACTGAAAGCAATTCCAGGGCGCTTGGGAGTTCCGGTTTTGTTTATCACATGGCGGATCAAGTTGTTGTTGTAAGTGTTGGCATTTCTATCGTTGCATACAGTTCATTGGAATCACCTTTCGATGGCCAGCCAGTTTCAGTCACTATGACAGGGATGTTAGTGAAGTTCAGGAAAGCCATGGCAAAGTATGTAGCGTCGACCATAGCATCAAAGACATTGGAGTAGTGGACAAGGGTGTTAGAGTCGACAGCTTCCTTTGTCGGAGGAAGAGGCTTGAAAAGTGCATAGTCCAATGGAATCACACCATTTGATTCCATATAGTCATAGTAAGGGTATATATTAAGCATGAGAGACGACCCCGTCGACTACAAGAAATTAAGCATGGGGACCATAACCGGATTCCATGAGCGATTGAAGAAAGCCTGGGAAGGCGGGAAAGAATCAAGGATTATGGATGAAGCAAGAGGTGATGAAACTTTGATTTTGATTTAGTTGTCCAAATTCGACGCCACGAGGGCAGAGTGAATGTACTTCATGGCATTCACAAGCACCGGCGCTGCATTAGGAAGTGCAACGAAAACCTCAGAACCAACACAAACAGCAGTGATGTTGGTGGCTGGGTAATGTGCGGCGATGTTCCGAGAGACCCAATTAGCTGCAGTGGAATTCGATTGTCCAATGCCTAGAAGTTGGTCGTTGGGTATAGAAACCATAACCCGAATGCCGGTATTCGCAAGAGCGGCTAGCATACCTCTGTCCGCATCGTACAGTCTAACATGTCGGATTTGCTGAGCTTTAAGAAGAGCAACTACTTGAGTTGGGTGTGGCATGATCGATAGATCTGTCCCTATATTCACTCCAATGTATGGATCTGCAACAACAAAATTAGACCAAAATAGTTAAACCAAAGGGCAGTTCGACTACGCCATGTTAATTGGACTCAGGTCAAAGCGTCGGATAGGGGATGCATCCAACACAAATACTTCAAGAAAAATGAAAAGTTCAACAACATTTTACGAAACCGAAGTCCTTTACGAACATTTCTATAAAGAAACTTCTACACGTGAACATTACCTTTATAAAAAAAATACACATACATGGGTGCATGCTACCTATATTAAAAGCAATAAGACAAATACATATATATATATATATATATAAAACAATGGAGGATGGTATGTTCCCTAGATCCAGTAAATCTTTTGACCATTTTTTTTCATTACCAAGGCAAGCGGAAATGTTACCGCCAGAGGTTGTTCTCTTTTCTAAAAGAAAATACAGTGAAGGACTAAAATGAACCAATGAAATTACCTCTAAGATCTAGCCTGCTGACAAGTATATAAAACAATAGAAAGATGGTTGAATCAGAGAGGGCACAAGAACTCGCTGGAGCTGATGCCCATGTTCTTCGTGTTGCTGATATAGGGAGGGATGGGCTATCCTTGCGTTTCCGCTGCTCTCGGCCTTGTTTATATCGTATCCCATTATCTCTACTTCACCGGCTATGCCACCGGCGATCCCAAGAACCGTCTCACTCGGGTATTTCTTTTCTTTAACCAACGTTATTTCTATGTAAAACAAAATAAAAGAGCGGCGTAATGATAAAAGTTCATCGATATGATTTTGCAGGAGATTTGGGTTCTTGGCATTGTTGGGGCTCATGATCTGCACCGCTTCGTTTGGGATCAATCTGCTTCGACCATGATAATGGACTTTGCATAAACATCTCCCCCTTTGGTTTAACAGTTTAATAAGTTCCTTTAGTGTATGCAGGCTTTGATGGGTTTTGGGTGTTCAATTTAGTCCCTTTTTTACTTCAATGTTGTTGTCTATGCGTCCTTTTTATGCCATATTAATAAATATTTTTTATTTAATAGACATATCTAATAAGATAATGATGTATGTCATTACTCCATTAATCAAAAACAATGAAAATATGAATTACAATTAAAAAAGGACTCCAGCAACCAACTATTGAAAAAGAGATTTGATATTTAACCATTGCATTAAATTAAAATAGTTATATTGTAGATAAAATTTAAATTTTTTATAAGTTTCATTATAATTAATATATGTATATATATATTAACTAAATTTAATTTAAATATTAATTTCATCAACAATTTGAGTTCAAGCGACAATTTATAAGAATAAGTTAAATATATATAGTGGTAAAGTGAAAATTAAAATTTTATCAACAAAGAATAAGTTTTAACTTGTTCCTAATATATATATATATATTATTACTCTTAGAGGTCACATGTTCAAACACCAGTGATTATAGCAAGATGATTAAATGTATATTGTTAAATGGTTGAGAGTATTTAGAACATATATTATTTTATAATCACGTTAGTTTAATAAAAAAATTAATTAAGAGTCGATAAAATTTATTTTATTTATTTATAAAAATATTTTTTTAATATTAATTAATATTAAAAAAATAATTGGCAGGGACCAAAGCTCCAGCTGGTCCCTGCCCAGTTCCGCTACATTTCCACTATTGCAATGCAAACCAACAACAATGCACCACAATAGCTTCACCTGAAACCAGTAAATGTAATCAACGATACGATAGTAGTTATTTTAGTAGTTTATTTCTGGTTAAAGGATGTAATAGCTGTTTTCTTAAAATTAACCAAAATTTTATATTTTTGCATTTAATTAGAGATTTAAATTCAAAAAATTAATTAATGTATTCATCATTGGCCAACAAAAACGGTCGTTGATCATTATATTACACTAATGCCCGCGGATTTGCGCTAAGAGAAAAGGAATTGAGTTTTTTTTTAAGGTTTTAATATACAAAAGGTGTTAACGTATGTTCGTTTTTTCAGTTTAGTGCTTAACGTTTTTTTTGTTTCAGTTTTGTGTCTAACGTTTCATTCCGTTACTTAAAATGGTCACGTAGTGATGGACCGTTAGTTTTCTCCGTTAAGTGACACATGTCACAATTTGGTAATTTTAAAAATTTCTTTTTAAAATTAAATATTAAAAATGTTATTATATTTATAAAAAAACCCTTATTTCTTTTAAATTACAAAAACGTCCAAATTTTAACACCGAAGCTTACCCACGGCGGCGGACGGCGACTACGACGTGACCCACCGTTCGGTTTTGATCGGACGGTGACGAGGAAGCTAAATATAGTGGTGGTGAGGCGAACGGAGGTCCGAGGCGGCCGGAATCATCCAAAATACGAGGCGTCAGGATGGGTTTTCGAGAGAAACTTCAAGGGTTCGATTCCGGCGATGGCTATCCATGAATTGTTTTGGGGGTTTTGATCATGGCGGCGAGGCGATTCGATTGGGATGTACGGTGACAAGAACGGACGAGCGGCGGTGGCGGTCAGTGTGGGTTTAGGGGTTGAGATGAAGGTTTTCAAAGTTTTGAGATTATTTCGAAATTAACGTGTGTTTTTATTTTAAAAAATATATAATTTTTGGAATTTTTCTCATTCGAACAACCTCTCATTCTTAGTCCTTACCCTACCTCTCACCAGAACCCATGGAGCTCTCACTGGAAAACACCAGTGACAATAACAAATCAATAATCAGTCAAAACCAAATAAAACGGGAAATCATCAAACCCATAAGAAATAACATGAAGGGGAACAAAAACAAAACAATATGCAAGCATTCAATAAACATGAGAAAAATCCCAAAAATTATATATTGTGATACATCTTCAAGGGACCTTGTTTAACGGACTTACCGTCTCAACCCGCTAGACTAATTGGTAGTTAGTAACAAGAATATTCCTTTGACCTTTGTGATACAGCAATACACCTTTTACAAAATTAGAAACACAAGAAACATTCATTAGGGTATTATGAGCAGAATATTGTAAGAATAATCGGAAAGGTAATGAAGGGCATTGTAATTCTTACCGAGTTTGTAAGAATTCTTCCTCTCCTTACTTTGTGACTCCCCTGGAAGGTATTACCTTATGTTATATAGGATGGAAGTGTACTAAGTGATGGTTGATATTGTTACTCTCTTTATTCTTCATTTACAAGTATAATCATCTTTTTACTATACTTTTAGTTGTTCCTTGGTTGGTTTTGTTTATCTGCATTTAATACTTTTTTTGTCTTTGGGTATAGCTATTATGTTAAACTACGAGCTAAATCTAATGACGGCTACTTAAGAGTTAGAAGTAGAACCCTCCCCAATCCAGAGCCACGGTTCCCTTACCAAATCGATGTGTTAAACTACCAGCTAAATCTGATGACCGCTAAGAGTTAGAAGTATAAAAAATATTATTTATTTATTTATTTATTTCCCGAAACAAACCAGCGTCATTGCATATCACCGTAAAAGATAAGGATTTTACAATCACTGAATGCTCTTCTAAGCCCTTTCATTTATATGTTTTGTTTAATCCTTATCTTTTACTGAAGCTTTGAATGAGCTTTTAGAGTCTGATGACAAGTTTGGGTTTATAGTCATGGATAGTAATGGCACATTATTCGGTACGCTAAGCGGGAACACGAGAGAGGTACTTCATAAATTCACCGTTGATCTACCGAAGAAGCATGGAAGAGGAGGACAGTCCGCTCTGCGTTTTGCTCGTTTGAGAATGGAGAAGCGGCACAACCATGTGAGGAAAACTGCAGAACTGGCCACCCAGTTCTTTATTAAATCTGCAACTAGTCAGCCTAATGTTTCTGGGCTGATACTGGCTGGTTCAGCTGACTTTAAGACTGAATTGAGCCAGTCCGACATGTTTGATCCTCGTTTACAAGCCAAGATTTTGAACGTTGTTGATGTGTCGTATGGCGGTGAAAACGGTTTTAATCAAGCTATTGAGCTCTCTGCTGAAATCCTGTCGAATGTAAAGTTCATAAAAGAAAAGCGTTTAATCAGAAATTGTTGGAAAAGTTAAACAAAGGGGCTAAAGAATTCAACAAAGGGAACTGGGAGTTGCATTTTCAACTAAGGGAGGCCACCGAATGTGGAATTGTACACCGAATTCGGTGTAATAAATGTGTTGAATTTTTTTTTGGGTAATTGCAACTTTAGTTATTGTAATTTTTAGGGTATTTATAATATTAGTCCTTAAGTTTTAACTATAAATACCCTAGCTCATTTAGCTTCAAAATCATCCAAAAATCCCAAATTATTTCTTTCTCCAAATACTAGAGAGCTTTCTTGTGAGTAGTGAGTGTTTTGTAAACACCTGTAAATTTTCTCTCTTAGTAAAAGATGTGCAGCAGTCCGGAGACGTAGGCAAAATTGGCTGAACTCCGTTATCAATTTCGGGTATTATTTTTTCATTTTTATTTCACATTCTCACTAATCTGGTTATAGTGAAATTATTCGTTCTCGTTTATTTCCCAACAACTGGTAATCAGAGCTTTTGGTTGTGAATTTTGTCAATTTTTGCGAGGTTACTATTTATGTGAATAGTGAATTTCGTGAATAGTAAAATTTTGTCGGCGATACGAATTTGTCGACGGAGGTGTTCTAATACACGGCGGTTCGCGAAAATTGTCAGAACGATCCAAACGAAACCAGATTCGAGTGGGAGCGATGACTGCAGACGAAGGGAATGTGAAATTTGAGAAGTTCGATGGTGCGAACTTTGGCTTTTGGAAGATGCAGATTAAAGATTTTCTATACCAGAAAAATCTTTATCAACCTCTCTCAGGAAAGTAACCAGAGGGCATGAAGTATGAAGACTGAGCTCTTCTCGATAGACAAGCCCTCTGAGTTATCCGACTGACGTTGTCCCACAATGTTGCTTTTAACATAGCAAAGGAAAAGACCACAACGGGTCTTATGGCGGCTCTCTCCAGTATATATGAGAAGTCATCGGCCTCAAACAAAGTGCACTTGATGAGGTGATTATTCAATTTGCGGATGGTGGAAGGGGCATCAGTGGCTCAACACCTGAATGAACTCAACACAATCACAACCCAGTTGAGTTCCTTGGAAATTGAATTCAATGATGAAGTTCGAGCTTTAATTGTCTTATCATCTCTACCAGACAGTTAGAATGCTACTGTTACGGCAGTCAGCAGCTCGTCGGGAAATAACAAATTAAAATTCGACGATGTTCGGGATCTGGTATTGAGCGAAGAAATTCGACAGAGAGAATCGGGTGAAGTATCAACTTCCTCAGCCTTGTACACGGAGTCCAGAGGAAGAACTTCAGAAAGAAGTTCAAATCGTGGCAGATCCAAATCCAGAAGGGGAAAATCAAGAACGGGAAATAAAGATTGTACCTGTTATAACTGCAACAAGAAGGGTCACTTTAAAAGAGATTGTTGAGCACCGAAGAAAAATACCGGCGTACAGGAATCTGCCCATGTGACAGAGGAGATAGGTGATGCTATGTTTCTAAGCGTCAACAGTCCGATTGAATCATGGATCTTGGATTCAGGGGAATCTTTCCACTCCACCCCATGCTGAGAAATCATGGAGAACTATGTCAGTGGTGATTTTGGGAAGTTTCATCTAGCTGATGATGAAACCTTGAAGATCGTCGGAAAAGGAGACATCCGATTAAAGTTGCCAAACCATACCACCTGGACGCTGAAAGGAGTGAAAAATATTTCTGGCCTCAAAAGAAATTTGATTTCTATAGGATAGCTTGATGGAGAAGGATATAGCACAACCTTTTCAGGCTGTGAATGGAAGATTACCAAAGGAGCATTCGTCATTGCTCGTGGTAAGAAGATTGATACTCTCTATATAACCTCAAATTTAGAGAATATCATTGCAGCAACAGATGCTGATGGAAAATCAAACATATAGCACCAAAGGCTTGGCCATATGAGCGAGAAATGGATGAAGACACTTTTTTCAAAAAGGAAGTTGTCGGATCTAAAGAGTGTAAATGTCAGACTATGCGAGGACTGCATCTTTGGCAAACAAAAGAAAGTGAGTTTTGCAAAGATTGACAAGACACCCAAGGCTGAAAAGTTAGAGTTGGTTCATACTGATGTATGGGGACCATCTCCAGTTCCATCTCTTGCAGGCTCATTATATTATGTCACCTTCATCGATGATTCTACGAGGAAGGTGTGGGTTTATTTTCTGAAGAAGAAATCAGAAGTCTTTGATACCTTCAAAAAAATGGAAAGCCATGGTGGAAAATGAGACTGGTTTGAAAGTTAAGCGGTTGAGGTCTGATAACGGAGGAGAGTACAAAAATAGAAGATTAAGAGATTTCTGCGCAAACAATGGGATAAAGATGGAGACAACAGTTCCATGACACCACAGCAGAATGGTGTAGCAGAGCGCATGAACAGAACTCTGAATGAACGTACCAGAAGCATGATGATACATGTTGGCTTGCCCAAAATGCTATTGGTTGAAGCTATCAACACTGCAGCTTACCTGATCAACTGTGGGCCCTCAGTTCCCTTGGATGGTGGAATACCAAAGGAAGTTTGGAGCAAGAAAGAAATAAACCTTTATCACTTAAGAGTGTTTGGTTGTATTTCTTATGTACACATAGATTCTGCTGAAAGAAGTAAACTTGATGCCAAGTCCAACAAATGCGTTTTTATTGGTTATGGTGGTGATGAGTTCGATTACCGGTTTTAGGACTATGAAAATCGGAAGATCATCATAAGCAGAGATGTCATTTTCAATGAGAATGTGATGTACAAAGACAGGTCAACCATGGAATCAAGTAGCTCCAACACCGAAGCTGAAACAAAGGAATTTGTTGAGTTTGAGGAGATTTATGGAAATGATGTTCAGATCACTCCTGAAGCAGTTCAAGAAGAACCGGTCACACCAGAACTAAGACGCTCCTCCAGAATTCTTAAACCAACCCAACGGTATTCTCTTTCTTTGCACTACTTGTTGCTGACTGACAATGGTGAACCAGAGTGCTATGATGAAGCAATGCAAATGAAGGATTCAGTCAAGTGAGAGTCTTCCATGAAAGATGAGATGAACTCGCTTATGTCAAATCAGACGTGGGAATTAGTTGAATTACCACCAGACAAGAAAGCACTTCATAACAAGTGGATTTACAGGATCAAGGAAGAGCACGATGGGAACAAACGCTATAAAGCGGGATTGGTTGTCAAAGGTTTTCAGCAAAAAGAAGGTATTGACTACAATGAAATTTTCTCTCCAGTCGTGAAACTGTTTACAATCAAACTGGTGTTGAAAATTATAGCAACATAAAATCTACATCTTGAGCAGTTAGATGTAAAGACAGCTTTCCTTCATGGTGATTTGGAGGAAGAAATCTATATGAGGCAGCCAGAAGGCTTCATTGAGGCAGGCAAGAAAAACATGGTATGCAGGTTGAAGAAGAACTTGTATGGTTTAAAACAAGCTCTTAGACAGTGGTACAAGAAGTTCGATAGTTTCATGAGTAGCAGTGGTTTTACCAGATGCCAAGCAGATCATTGTTGCTACATCAAGAGGTTCGATAACAACTTCATTATTTTATTATTGTACGTTGATGACATGCTCGTTGCAGGTTCGGACATGCAAGAGATTATAAACTTGAAGAAAAAATTGTCGAAGCAGTTTGCAATGAAAGATCTGGGCACTGCAAAGCATATTCATGGGATGAGGATCAAGAGAGAAACAAAGTCAGGGACTTTGATTTTATCACATGCTGAGTACATCAACAAAGTACTCTCCAGGTTCAACATGCAAAATGCTAAACCAGTAAGTACACCTTTAGGTGTTCATTTTAGACTCACCAAAGAACAGTTACCAAAGACGGAGGAAGAACGTGCACACATGGTGAAGGTGTCGTATGCCTCAGCAATTGGAAGTCTAATGTATGCCATGATTTGTACCAGACCAGATATTGCTCATGCAGTGGGAGCTGTTAGCAGGTACATGAATAATCCAGGGAAGATACACTGGGAAACTGTCAAATGGATCCTCAGATATCTGCGAGGTACTACAAATAAAGTACTTTGTTTCAAAGGTGGATATACGATACTGACAGGCTATGTAGATACTGACTTAGCCGGAAATGTTGACATCAGAATGAGCACTACAGGGTATGTCTATACTCTTGGAGGAACCGCAGTGAGTTGGGTTTCTCAACTACAAAAGATAGTTGCTCTCTCCACAACTGAAGCAGAATATGTCGCTGTTATAGAAGCCAACAAGGAGATAGTTTGGCTCCAAAGTTTCTTGGAAGAGTTAGGCAAGAAACAAGAAACAATGTATTGTATTGCGACAGTCAAAGTGTTATCCATCTAGCGAAGAATCCGTCTTTCAGGACGAAGCATATATAATTGCGATATCATTTTATCCGGTCTCTTCTGGAAGATGGGATTTTGAAACTTGAAAATATTAGTGGAGCTCAAAATCTGGCAGATATGTTGACAAACACGTTGACCACGAACAAACTGAAGTTGTGTTCAGCTTCAGTTGACATGCTAGGTTAACAAGACCAGAAATGATGTTGCATTGATCGAGGTGTGAAGACAGATTAAAATAAGTCTTCAAGTGGGAGATTGTTGGAAAAGTCAAACAAAGGGGCTAAAGAATTCAACAAAGGGAGTTGCATTTTCAACTAAGTGAGGCTACCGAATTCGGTGCAATAAATGTGTTGAATATTTTTGGGTAATTGCAACTTTAGTCATTGTAATTTTTAGGGTATTTACAAGATTAGTCCCTAAGCTTCAACTATAAATACCCTAGCCTATTTAGCTTCAAAATCATCCCAAAATCCCAAATCATTTCTTTCTCCTAATACTAGAGAACTTTCTTATGAGTAGTGAGTGTTTTATAAACACCTGTGTTGAAAACATTTTGATGTTTCGATATAACAAATTAAGTTAAATGAATTTTAAGATTTTACAAATGATTTTCTAAAAGTATATTCGATTTAATTACTCGAATATCAAATTATTACTCCAAGTCTTTTAAGATCAATTTCAAACCTTACTAAATGTGTAAAATTGTGTTTTATACTTAATATATTTTTGAAAAATTTTCACAAAGTATTTTGAACCAAAATCAAGCCTAAAATCAATTTTTCAGAGTGATGCACCGATGCACCGATCCATGCATCGATGCACCATGAATTAAATTGAACATCGAATGTATTTCATGCATCGATGCACTAAGGATGTTATGAAAACATCGAATGCATTTGATGCATCGATGCACCAGTCATGCATCGATGCACTCTGGCTATTTTGAAACATCGAATGCACTTGATGCATCGATGCACTAAGGGTCTAACGGTCAAAATATTTGAATTTTACACTGATGCACCGATGCACCATGGGTATGCATCGATGCACTGACGCTCCCAACTGCTTTAATTAATTGTTTTCACACTTAAACGGCTCTATTGACTCCACTAATCATTCCCAACGTTCAGAAGTGATTCAAGGTGTATTTAAACAATCTTAGAAGCCGCTGATCAACAACAAGAAACATCAAGCAACTAGAATCAAGAGAGAATCAAAGAGAAAGCATCAAACCTCAAGTTTGAGCATTTCAAGCCTATTTTTTATTCAATATTCATTTTTGCTTTCAAGAACACTTATTGTGCTCAATTGTATTTATTATTGAGTGTTCTTTTTTTGTTCTAGAATTGTGCAAACATATTTGCCTTGTGAGTTTTTTCTTGTGAGTTTGCAAATTTGTAATATTCTCTTTGAGAAAAGAGTGTTCTCAAGAATTGGGGTATATTCTTGAGGGAGTTGTAAGGTTATCTCTTTGGCCTTAAAAGAAAGAACAAATTAGTGAATTTGTTAGAAAATCTTTAGTGTAGATAGCTAAGGTAGTGGACGTAGACTTTGATTGATAAAGTCGAACCACTCTAAATCGCTGTGCAATTACTTTCAAATTTCTGCAAAAGCTTCCACAAAATTTTAATTGTCAATTCACCCCCTCTTTGCCGATTCCGTCAATCGATTAACTCAACAACCTGTAAATTTTCTCTCTTGGTAAAAGATCTGTAGCAGTCCGGAAACGTAGACAAAATTGGCTGAACTCCGTTATCAATTTCGGGTTTTATTTTTCCGTTTTTATTTTACATTCTCACTAATCTAGTTATAGGAAAATTACTCGTTCTCGTTTATTTCCCAATAGAAAATACTTCGGCGTAGATGATACATTGAAGGCTCTGGAAATGAATGCTGTAGAACTTCTCATTGTTTGGGAAAACCTGGAGATCAATAGGTACATGCTAAAACATAGTATAACGGCTGAAATTATCATAAAACGCCTGAATAAGGAGCAGGAGGCTGATCAGAGCAACTTCCGTGATCCTGAAACCTCTGCGGAGTTGGAAGTTCAGGAAAAAATGCCGCTACTCGAATGGTTTGCCAACAAGTATAAGCGTTTCGGTTGCTCTCTTGAATTTGTCACGAACAAATCCCAAGAAGGATCACAGTTCTGCAGAGGGTTCGGTGGCATCGGAGGCATCGTACGTTATCAGCTTGACATGAGAACGTACGATGAACTCTCCAATGGAGAAGTTTACGAGGATTCTGATTGATAAAGCACTGCTCAAAGCTGCCATGAGGCTCGAGAGCTTATACAACCCACAGATGTAATGCTTCTTCTTTTACCATTTTATCACTTTTTGATTCTAAAAATAGAATATAGACCAAGTTGGTTTGGGTTTTTTCGATTTGTAGTCAGGGGAAACAGGGGAAAAAGAAAAGAGAATTAAGGGGTATGTGATTCCTTGTTTAGTAGTAGTTTCCCTGAGTCACTCCTCTTGAAAAGTTTCTCTACCAAGTCATCCCAATTTGTCCGTTTAACACCTCCATTGTCGGTTCCAGCAGCCACTGTTTCTGTTTCCTCAATCTCGATCGGTTCACCATCTGCGGGCACGGCATGAGGGATATTCAAACTGACGGCTTTTTGCAATGCATCTTTGTGTTCTTTCTCAATGGTCTGCAACCTCTCCAGTTTCTGTATTTTCGGGGGAACTGTTATCGTCTCGGATTTGTTCTCCCTCATAATCTGTAGGAATCAACAATTAAGCTATATTGATGACAATCCAAGGTACACCAATGAAGCTTCAATACTAAACTAAAACGAAGGGCACTCACCCCCAAAGCCTTCTCCGATTCCCTTTCGATCCAAATTATTCCATGATCAGATGTCGCGTTACAAGATAACACGATATGTTCAAACCGCCCGTCGACAGGAATGGCTGTTCGGACTTCTGGAGGAAACCTCCCACATCTAAGGACTCAAATCACATAGCAACTTAAAATCAAATAAACAGACAAACCAACCTGACCATAATCTAATAAGATAGAATTGTAAATAAAATGCATTGGTTGATGTAAAGATGAAGAAGCAAGAGTCAGAAAATGTTGGTACCTGCAAAATTTTCGCTCGACGATATGATACATTCGTCCAGGAGCATAAAGTCGTCTCGGATCTTTAAGTTTCCTACCTTCCGGTATAAAGGTATCCCTCAGGCAAACAAGAAATATCAAGCATGGCAAGCTGTCCAAAAGCAAGCTGTCCAAAAGCATCAAATAATAGATGAAACAATAAGGCTATATGAGAATGGTTAATAAGAATATGCAAAATCAAATGAGAGAAAAAGTACCAGAATATAGACTTGAAGATATCTTCCAAGGGTGTGGCTGTCCTAGGCAAGAAATCATCCTGAAACAATTATAATATCATGCAAAGGGGATGTTAACAATCAAAATTCACTTACTGAAGGTGATCAGGCAACATTATTAATTAGGAACAAGTACTTGATCAAATCGAGTTAAAAAAAATCAAGTTAGTCGAGTTGAATAGTATGAATTTATAATTCAAGTTTTATTTGAATTTTTTCAAAGTCGAGTTCTTCGAATTTCTTTTTAAATTTAATTATAAATATTTATAATGTTATGATATTAATATATGTTATTTTTCATCCTCCAGTGATTTTAAATTTATATAAAAGTAAAAGAGTATTATACAACCTAGTTAAATCATATATATATATATTTCTTTTTTAGATAAATATATATATTTCTTTATATTGTTTTCAAATGTAATATATATATTATAGGGAGTTAAAAGATGACAAAAAATTTTATTCGTTAATTACTAAAAATTTTGAGTTAAACTTTTTTAAAAAATTTTAAGTGAAATCAATACGAGTTAAACTTTGTAATCTTAAATCTAATTAAAAAATTGATTTTCCGAGTCAAATTTTATTCCCACGTAATAATCAGATAAACATTTAAATGCAGGCCAAAACCATTGAGGAAAAAAAAAGAGATGATCTACCTGCAAGACAATGGAGTGAATATCATCAGCATACTTGACGGCTAAGTTGAGTGACATACACCTGGCTGGCGCCAACGCATAGCACCGAATCTTATTCCGGGGAATTCCACCCAATTTATCCCTGTGATTAACCAGCACCACCGCCATCAACGCCGCCACGCCCGACCCCAACGAATGTCCGCCAATAATCAATTCATATTCCCTACCAGTCTCTTCCCAAACCCTCTTCAACGTCTCACTCTCCTCGTTCAACAACCACACCGCCGATTTCAACATCCCGTGATGAACATATCCCCCGTCAAACATCTGCATCCCCAGCCTGTTATCCAACAGAACTTTATAGTCACTGTCTTTGACCAAGTTGAGTCCCCTGATCGCCATCACGATCTCCTTCCGTTCATGGTCGGCGTATATAAGGTACGGCGGAGAACGACCCTGGGTTTGTTCGTAGTCGGCGTGTTTCAAGACCCAGTCCGGGTTGACTCGGTAGCCGCCGTCGGGAGGGGATTGGGGGTTTCTGAGATCAGTTTTGTAGACGGCTAGGATTAAACGACAGAGTCTGGGGACGGGCTCGAACTCGTCGGGGGTAGCTGACGGCCAGGTTTCGCTGTCGTCTGAACCGACGTGGGTGCAGCGCTTCCATGCCCAACGCGAACAGCCAAGACAGAGGATGCATTCGCCGCCGCAAACAACAGACATGTATGGTCGGATCGGATGAGAGAATTGGGCAACAAAATGGATCGATGATTCGTAATGAAACGAGAACAGAGTTGGGAAATTAGAGAGAGAAAAAGGGAAAAAGAAAGCACATGGAAACTGGAAAGAAAATTCGGGGCAGAGACCAAATTTCATAGAAAATGTGAATTTATACGGGAAGTGAATCCCGGTTTTCAATATCTACATAAACGTTTCAAACTTTTAACCTGTAATGTTCCTTTTTAGTCGCTTTTCTTCAGCTGCTCTTTGAGTTTAAGCTACTCGGATTTCCCCCCACGTAATACAACAACAACAACAACAACAAAACCCAATTCTCATATGTATGGGGTAAGGGGGAGGTAGGGTAGTAGGCTGCCCCCAACGCCAGGTTGAGAATAGCTTCCGTGAAAGACCTCCGGTACTCAGAAAATTAAAAATATAGATAAAATGCAATGCATGTATAAATAATTACATAAATACATAGCTAAACAATATTCATATGCAGTCATTAATATCATATGTGCTTCTGTAATGGGGAGTAATCCCTGCAAAATAATCCCTGCGAAAGAATCTCTGCATATAGACAGAAACATAAGACCGGCTAAATTTAACAGAGGCAACATGACGAGAATGATACACAGAAGACAATTATAGCAAGCCCAGTTCTAATCTTTCATAAATACCAATAACAGAAAAGTATAAAAAGTAAAAGTCATGGAAATTACTACAAATGCATTTAAAAGAAGACAAAGATGATACACCCTATAGATGTGACCCACACTACTCGACTACCCTAGTCTTAAGCCTCCATAATTTCCTATCATAGGTCATGTCTTCGGTAAGGCCTAAATCCATCAAATCAGATCTCAAGCAGTCTTCCCACTTCCGCCTTGGTCGTCCTTTCCTTCTGGCACCGTCGACTGTAATCGACTCTACCCTCCTGACCGCATCCGACGGTAGTCGCCTAAGGACATGCCCAAACCACCGTAGTCCTCCCTCCCTCAATTTTTCGGAAACAGACACCACCCCTAAGGACATCCTAATAGCAGAGTTTGTCGTCATATCCCACAGAGTCCTACCACATGTCCATCGAAGCATTCTCATTTCTGCGGCCTCTATCCTCCTTACGTGATCCTTCTTGGTTGCCCAACATTCTGATCCATACAACAACGCTGGTCTTATTGCCATTCTATAAAATTTTCCCTTAAGTTTTAGAGGCACCTTCTTGTCACACAAAACTCCAGTAGCGGCCCTCCACTTTAGCCATCCCGCCTTTATACGGTGTGTAACGTCATCATCTACACCCCCATCTTTATGTATCATAGACCCTAAGTACTTGAAACAATCCTTTGAGGGAAGAACGTGTCCTTCTATGCATACTTCTACATCTTCATCGTTTTGGTTCCCATTGAAGTTTGAACATAAATACTCTGTCTTTTCAATATTGATCCTTAAACCTTTTTCTTCCAAAGCAGTCTTCCAGGTAGCCAGTCTACTATTCAACTCAGATTTTGTTTCAGCAACTAGAACAATGTCGTCAGCGAAAAGCATACACCAAGGTACATCGTCTGGTGTCGCACAATAGATGTCGTCCATAATCAAGGCGAAGATGTAAGCCCCACGTAATATATATATATATATATGTACGCACACACACATTGATACTAAACGTCTTTTTTTTTCAAATTTAACTATTCTAAGCTTACAATAAAAAAATAAAAACTATTCTAAATTTATATTGTTTGTTCAAAAATTGTTAAATTACAAGGCTATTGAACTATGCCCAAGGGATTGTTTTGATTATTGAATTTTCAAACTTTACATAACAATTACTAAATTTAGGATAAAGTAGATATTGAGTTCTTTGGTTTTTAAAATATATAAAATAGTCTCTGACTATAAAAAATTACTTTGTTAATTCGTTCGACTATTAAAAATTACAAAATAGTTACTTCATTATTTATTATGATTCAAACTCGTTCTTTTTTAATCAAAAAATTAATGATTGTCTGAGTTAGCGTACAACTCAGACTACCATTAAAATTTTAATAAAAAATGACGAGTTTGAAACATAATGAATAGTTAAGTGACCATTTTGTAATTTTTAATATACAGATGACTCAATAAAGCAACTCCCTATAGTTCAGTGGCTATTTTGTAATTTTCAATAGTTGAAGAACTCAAAAAACAATATTCTATAGTTGGAATACCATTTGTGTAAATTATCCTTAAATTTATCACAATATTTGTTTAAAATAAACTTTAAAATTTATTGAATTATTTTAAAATGAATTATTAAATTAATTAAAATTATATAATTATTATAATAATGATCATTTTGTAATAATTCAATAAAATTTTATAATAATTTTATAATTTTAAAATTCAAGCGTACTATAATTAATATTTTAAATTTTATTAAATTTAAATAAAAAATTTAGTATTTATAAATAGTGATGAAATATATCTTTGAACAATTGGAGTCAAAATATTGTTGCAGGTTCCATATTCTTTTTCTACCTTTGATATATTGTTTTGAAACATATTCTTCAAAGTTACATTAAAAATGAAAATTATTTTTCTCGAATCCATTAAAAAATTATATAACAAAAAAATGTTGACCAGGCCAGAACCGCCAGGTATCATATTCAAACGAGAGGACAGTGGGGAAAGTAGATAGATAGGTTGTAGCCATCATTGTTCGGTAAACAACCCTTGTATCATACTCAATTGCATGTTGGTTCATTGTAGGGGGAAAAAAGACTGGATCTGAAATAATAATAAAAAAACCCATCTTACAATGCATGTATAGTTTCTCAACCAGTTCGTCCATTACGTTTGAATTGTTCTATTACGCTTACCATTTAATAATTTTTCAATCGTGCAAGTCTGGGAGTGATTTGTTTCATAAAAGCATCAAGTTTGAACATGTGATTGGGATCAGACTGACGTGCAAAATATAATTCGTCAAATCTTTGCTCAGATACTATCCAGCAATTAAGCTGTCATCATTTCCCAATTCTAATTCTGTTTTAATTTCTCAATCTTCATAAACCTTAAAAGATTAAGATATTCATGTAAACAAAATCAACCTTAATTCAGCCTGATTGAAATAAACAAGAAAAACAAATAACAAGACCAAATAAATTTCTTTCAAACAATGGGAAAGATATCTCTCATATGAAACAAAAAGGAAAATTATGTGATGATTAATTGCTCTCAGAATTAGGCCAAGATTTTCCACATATAAGACCAAGAAGGCAAGCATTTTACCTCTGAAATTTAACACAAAACAGCCAGTACTTCTGGAGCTTGATAAAAGCTTTCCTCCATAATCTAAAAGAAGAGGATATTATCCTCCAGCTCCTAGGAAACAGAATCATTAGGCCAAAATCAAACACTAGAAGCATAGCAACTTTGCGTTAAACCAAAGAGAAACCGCCTAACCTCCGAGATCTGGATTTTCAGTGTGGTTAAAGCAAATATCAATCATCATCGAGCAAAAAATTAAAAAAAAATTGACAGATTTTAAAAATAGAAACTGTGGAACTTACGAGAAAACGCAATAATCCATAAGGAAAAAGATACAAACAAATCCAAATTCTGGAAACTGCGTGTCCAGAAGTACCTTTGATATTGCATCTTTTCGTATCCTCTAGAGCTATTGTTTTATAAAGAGCACTGAGGATCATAGATAGATGCTAATGAGATAACGAAGATTAGGAGAACTATTAGATCTTGGGGCGGAGATTTCAGATATCGGCTGTTTTAGGATTAGATGTAGGGTTGGGGAGATTTATATAGTTGCAAGAGATTATAGTTTGGCAAATTTAGGGTTTCGACAAGTATATCTGTGTTGACTCCCCGGGACGGATAAATGGATCCATAGCAGAAATCCAAACTGTTTTAGATCAGATCTGGATACGATTGGAATTTGAAATTTTGTTTATATATTAACATAAATTAAATATAAATTAAATTTATTTCTTTAATAAAAATTAAATTTATTAACATGGGTGAGATTATAGGCGTTTTTCCCGATATATCACTTTTTACATTTATTTATTTCTGTCAGACATCCTACAGACTATTTTTCCTGATCTAACACCTTTCGTAGTAAGGTGCGCCCCTGCAGTGTGTTTTACGCTCATTTGGTGTCACGTGGGGTAAGACGCGCGCCCTGAAAAGCGCCTTATGCTGACTGGATGGATACACGAGTGTAAAGCGCGGTGCAGGCGTCGCGCCTTACCTGCAAATCTGACACGCGTCAGAAAGACACGCCCCCTGCGGCGCGCCATAGGTTTAATTACCTACCTACCTTGACCGTTCACACTCCATCATTCCCTATAAATACTCTCATCCTCAATCACTTTCATCACATCAAATCCTCTCAACTTTCCTCAAATTCTCTAAACCTCTGTCAAATACTTTTATATTCTCTATTTAAGATATATTTTATTATATTTATTATTTTATATTTAATTTATTTAAGTATTTAAATTATTTAATATTATATTTGCTTAATTTTTTTACAGATAAAAAATGGAAGGCGGTCTGCTTCACTTGGATGAAAATCATATATCTCGACATTTTGTTGATACAGTAACATTTTAACGTTTTAATTTAATTTAAATTATTAGTAATAATTTATTTATTTATTTAATTCATGATTATTAGTTTAAAAATTAATTTTTGTAATTATTTATATTTTAGGAGAGAGACCGTATATTAGATCCTTTTATTAGGAACCTTAAGTTAGTGATACATGACCGTGTCATGCCGTATTTAGTAGAGGCTGGATTCGGTCACATAGGTAGATATGAGGGTCACTGTAAGATAGAATCAGACCTTATTGCTGCCTTAGTGGAGCGGTGGAGGCCGGAGACCCACACATTCTATCTTCCGTGCGGAGAGTGCACGATTACACTTGAGGATGTTTCTATGTACCTGAGGCTTTCGGTAGATGGAGATGTGATATCAGGGATGGCGCACGGTTCATGGACTACTTTGTGCCGGGACTATCTAGGACGTGTCCCAGAAAGTTTTAACGGTGGTCGGATACCGTTAAATTGGTTAGATGTCAATTTTCGGGAGTTGAGCGAGGACGCCTCTGATGATGAAGTTAAAATGTATGTACGGGCATGCATACTGTAATTGATAGGAGGGTTGTTGATGCTGGACAAATCGCGCAACCAAGTTCACTATATGTGGTTGCGACATCTTAGTGACTTTCGTCTGGCCGTATCACTCAGTTAGGGCTCGGCAGTTTTGGCTTTCCTGTACAGGGAAATGTGTCGAGCCACTGACTACAGGAAAAATGCTATCGGCGGATGTCTCCTGTTGCTGCAGTCTTGGGCATGGTATTGATTGCCCTTTTTATATCCCGTTGTCAAGAACTCATTCGTATTTCTGATACTCTCTTGAGGTAATTATAAAATTGATTTCGTATATTAATCATTTTATACAGTGTATAATAAATTTTGTTTTCCTTGAATAGGTGGTCTAATGATAGGAAAAATCATCAGGAGCTACCTGATGATTTAGAAAAAAATTAGGGTTCTAATCGATCAGAAGGTTGGCACACATGTATGTCTTTTAATGTTTAAAAAGCGATTTTAGATTATAGTTGTATAATTATATTATTATTTTGATAAAAAATTATATAAATTTATTTTAGTTTGATTGGGTGTCATATTCTAATGATGATGTGAGGATGGTGATCCCACCTGAGTTGAGGGGCCCATTAGATGTTTGGATGGCGATGGTCTCTTTGATCTGTTATGCGATCGTCGAGTGGCACTCCACTGATCACGTGCTCCGGCAATTTGGTTGTTTTCAACCAATTCTGGAAGAACCTCACAATATGGACGAGTTGCATAGCACAGATAGATGCGGCAAGAGTGATACAGTTATACAGATTGGCTAGTGAGGCATCACGAGTGGGTCGTGCTGTGGAAGGATCGACATCGGCGTCTTCCCTGTAGAGAGCCCATTTTTACTAACTTCTTTGATGGTTGTTGACGGTTATTATGAGTGGTTCAAAAGTAACGGGAAATTGTTTCTGTTTTCCAAGGATGCACAAGGGCAGACCTTTCAGCGACGTCGACAGAGACGTTCACCGACACAGTACCATCGTCCCCTGACTCATGGATGGAGAGCAGGTACTTCCGGTTCATCCTCAACTGCACCAGCATGACCTTCACAACAGCCACCGTCTACAACAACTTACCTTCCACAGCCATATGTGATGCCGCCATCGTCGTTCCCGTACCCGATGTCGCCGCCGCCACTGTCACCTGGTTTTATGACCCCCGCCGCCGCCATCGTCACAGAGTTTTATGACCCCTCCTGGAGGATATTATGAGTCTATGTTTGTAGATTCAACTTGGGGTTCATATGCCCACATTTTTGTGGGTTCAGACTCATCACTCATGGCCGCAACACAGACACCTCCTGTACAGTTTTCACACTCATCGATGTCTGGGTTTTATGAGTTTTCCCAGTTTTCGCAGGTCGATAAGATAGTTAGTCATACACCTCCAGGGTCCTTATTCTCTGGAGGTGCTTCATCGTCATCAGCTCCTCATCAACCTAATATAGCTTATGACGACGACGACGACGATGACGATGGTGATGATGATGATAGCGAGGAGTCACAACCACTGATACAAGAAATCCTCCTCGAGACCGACAGCCACCGCCCTACGGAACACATTCGCGTCGCAGGCATCGATAGATTTTGTTTTTTTATATTTGTATTTAGTTGTTTATTGGACTTTTTATTGTAATTTTTTAATTATTTATCATTTAATACTTACTTTTTTTTAATGTGGTTGGATTTATTTTAATTTATTTTGTTAAATTTGTTATACAATTTTGTTAATGTATTTTGGTTAATTTTGTTTATTACCTTTTAGTATCAGTTATTGTTATTTAGTTATCATTTACCATTTAATACTTTTTGTAAGTTTGTTGTATTTAAAATTATGTTCAAATACCAAATTGTTATTAGTTTTATAAAATTTAATAATTGTGTTCTCAAACTTTCTTCAATTTGTCACTTATTATATCTTTTATTATAATCACATATAACGCCAACGTTCAATATCGTTTTCTTGTATCGTTTTTTTACTGTTCATCAGCGGTTATCGAATAACAATAACTTTAAGTAAATGCAAATTAAAGTACAATAATTATTATTTGATAAACAACTACATCATGTTGTCATCAATTGTTACTTGATGACAACAGAAGTGGACATGTTTTTCTAATATGTCCTGGGTTTCTACAATGCCCACATCTTCTGTCTTGTCTAGATCTTTCTCGAATATCTATATCGCAATGAATTTGATTGGATTTTGGACGACCACACTCCCTCAATAAACTCGGATTTGGTACAATCGGAAGTCAATCCTAAACCTCATCAGGGTCTTTGTCATTACCTATGGGGGAACTCAAATTTGTATACCTTATAAACTTCAAATAGTAGGTATACGGGATCCAAAAAACGATTATAGTCTTGACGCGTATGCGAGCAAGCCATTATCACATGAGAGCATGGATACTTCAGAGCTTGAAAAAACCCGCAGTCGCACGTTCTGTCTCGTAGATTTACTCTTAACGACACAGCTTCAATCCCTTGAAGAGGTCGCGTCAACTCTGTGACACGAAACATTTCATGCCTTCTATAGAAGTCAGATACAGACATTCCATTTGATGCAACAATTTTTTTCTGTAGATCTGCAACTAATCTAGGGTGATAGACATGACCGTCTTGCATCCAGGTTTGAGCTTGTCCCCCGAGCTTCGCAAAAAGCACTCCCAAACAAAAATATGTAGTTTTTACCAAAGCCGCTACAAGTAAGTGACGTGCACCCTTTAAAGTTTAATTGATTGCCTCAGCCAAGTTGGTCGTCATGTGTCCATATAGATATCCACCATCATATGCGTTCGTCCACATTTCTTTTTCGATCTTCTCCCGCAAATCCTGAAGCATTGATTCAAACGTTCAAGTAAGTAGTTCGTAACCTGATCAAAAAATGTATAACTTACTAACTTGCTTTCTTTGCAAAAATAAAATGATCGAAAGAAAACAAACTATATCAGTTTCACTTACTTATGCGCACAATTAATTGACGGTCATCGTTCTTCTTGTACCTTCCATGGTAGTTCACAGTAATGTGTCGGAGATAATACCTATGTTGGACAAAGGGTGGTTGCCACATTGGACCCAAAGACTCCATTGTTGCTTTAATCCCATCTCCGCGATCTGAAATGACACATATTTTTTCCCTCGTGATAACATGTGTACGTAAGTTTCGGAGGAAAAAAGCCCAAGAATCTGTATCTTCTCATTCGATAAGAGCAAAACAACTGGAAGAATGTTGCGATTGTCATCTTAGACAACTGCCAATAATAAAACTTGCTTGTATTTTCCATACAAGAAAGTCTCGTCGATATGGACCACAAGCTTGCAGTATTTGACAGCATTAACGCAATGTGGGTAAGTCCAAAAAACCCAGTAGAATTGGCATCGATCGCGTAGAACGCGATCATTATGGTATGCATACGAGGTTTCGAAGTCCACAATTATCCCAGGATTCAACGTCCGCACCAGCCTAAACCAACCTGGAAGTTCGTTGTAAGATGCATCTCATTCGCCATGAAGTTTGACAATGACATTTTGTTTTGCCAACCAAGTTTTTTTATAGGAGACAGTGTACCCATACTGCGATTGTATAGCTGAAATTAACACTGCAACAGCTATATGAGAGCTTGCTTTTACCATGGGCATGATGGCTTGGAATATCACTTCAGAGTCCAAGTTGGGATGATCTTAGTTGACCATTCCAGCACAACATGTGTGAGGACCGTTGTATACTGTTAGTTCTCATTTGTTGTTTTT